AGCTGTCATAATCAGAAAAATTTTAGCAAGAGAAACTAGGGAAGGATTGAAATCTTTAAACTGAAACAGATAACTTCAATCATGTTATAACTTATTGTATCTGCTTTTTTCATTTTTAAATTTCAATTTATAAAATTATAAATTATAAGATATTTCAAATATACAGAACATAATGCAACAGGTAAAAAGCTCTATTAGAGTTTGTTTTTTTTTTTTTTTTTAAATCAGTAATGTGGATTGAATCCAGGGCCTGTCACATGCTATACAAGCACTTTGCCACTGAGCTATAGCCCCAGTTCTTTTTGTTTTATTTTGAGTCAGGGTCTCACTAAATTGCCCGGGCTGTCCTCGTGTTTGCAATCCTCCTGATTTTGCTTCTGAGTAGCCAGGATTATTGGGTGTGTAACCCCACATCCTGCTCTGTTACAGTTTTAATGTACATGGAATTATAGATGATAATATGCTGAATGTAGTTGTATTTAATTCTCAAATTACTTCACTCTCACTGAAATATGAAATGCATAAGGGAAAGGTGGTTCCTGCAAAAGGCAATCATTGACAAACACAGCTAATACATGAAAAATTGTCCCAGAACAAGTATTATCTTTCATTAATTCTCTAATAGTGTCTATCTCTAAATAAGTTTTGATATAGTAAGTAGCTTAGATGATTAGAAATTAACATCCTAGGGAATTTTAAGGGCAACTTAATTTTAGTTGCTCTGAGTTCAGGAAAACTTGAATTTGAGCCACAACTACATCAAAATTGTCAAAAGCAATGGCCATTCAGTCTCTGTGACTCCACTGGAGTTGAGGCCATAAATCCTGTTTTGACACATCTTGATATTTTTACCCTCACCCTCTATAGTTCTTTGAGTTAACCTCAATTGTAACCATTCCCTAATGATTTGGGCTTAAGGTTACTTTAGATTTTTGTGGGGAAGTTTTGTAGTTTACATTTTAGTTAACTAGGTTCAGGATTAATAAATATCCCTGCATATCTGAAACACACACCCTAATCCCAGTGGGTTGTAGGCTGAGGCAGGAGGATTGAAAAATCAAAGCCACCCTCAGCAGTTTAACAAAACCTTGTCTCAAAATTTAAAAATTAAAAAATGGCTGGGGATGTGGCTCAGTATTTAAGAGCCTTAGTTCAATCCCCAGTATCAAATAAATAAATCTGACTTCAATTTTTCAAATCAGACATCAGTCTAACAAAACTCACTATTTAGTTTTAAAATAAGATAATCCTATGGTTTCTGCTAACAAACCTACTAAAAACTATTTTACTGTCCCTACTGATTCTGATGAACAGTATATAAAGAGTGACATGTGACAAGGACTGGCACAAAAAACACAACAGGCTCCATATTGTTTCATAGCCCATGGGGGCAGGTGTCTCAGTGCATTAAATAAGACGTGAGTCTAGGGTTTGCCTTCTCAAGTGGGTGCCTCCCAAGACTGTTTTTGTATTCAACAGGAAAGTGTGGGCATTGAAATTACGCTACGAGTCATAGTCCAAATAAGCATTTGGTCATTTCAAAGTAACATCTGGAGGACAGAAAAATAATCTTAACTTAAAATTTCAACACTTTTGAAGAAGACAATACAAATGTAAAATTTTTCCTTCAAATTAGCCTTCTTTCCTACACAATACTGTTCTGTTTCTGGTCTTCTTGAAAAACTGTTTCTGTGGTGTTTGTTCCATGTCTCCTCGAGTCTGAAAATTGCCAGCTGCAAATTCTAACATGTCAAGGGCTCAGCTATATTTGCCCAACTAAGAAAAGGTAAAAGAATCGTGGAGCCTGTAAAATTATAAACATGCTTGTACACGGTTGTTGTGTTGTTTATAGAGAGAACTCTAAGACTTTAATAAGCCCCCAAACTTCATTATTTTGCCCTCCCTCTAAGTACAAAGCATAGATGTTTTGGCATGTTGGAATTTGAAGTTTGGAATTTTGGGAAGAGGCAGTGTATGGTCCAGAAACTCGCAACCTGGTCAGGTGGGAATATTCAGCAAGTTTCACAAAATAAGGTAAAGGAACAGCCCTTGACCCCATAAGCTTGATCAAAACTTCCAGAGGCTATGTTGAGAATGCAGTAAAAAACAACAAACAAAGGCACTGGACTTCTTTCTAGGATCTAAAGACATTAATTCAACAATTCTGCCATTTTTTGAAAATAGGCAGAAAACTTTGTGTAAAATTCTGAGTAAAAAATATGGTAATATACCATAGTTGATTGTCTAATGAAAAACAAGGAAATTTCATATAAAGGCATAAGTTTTGTTTAAAATAAGAATTTCCTGGGCTGAGATGCTATGCTGCTCAGTGGCAAAGCATCACATTTGCAAAGCCCTGGGTTTGACCCCCAGTTCAAAAAAAAAAAAAAAAAGAATTTCCTAAGAAACACTGTTAGATTATATGTCTAATCTGGTGATACATGCCAGAAATCCCATCTCCTTGGGAGGCTAAGACAGGAGGATAGAAAATTCCAGGTCAGCCTTGAGCCTCAGAGATTTAGCAAGACCCTGACTTAAAAAAAAAAAAAAAAAATACACACACACATATATACGGCTATGCATGTGGCTCAGTGGTACAGCACCCTTTGTTCACTCCCCAATACCAGCCATTAAAAAATTAAATAAAAAAATTGTAAGATTGAAAAGAATTTTGAAGTTTCCAGGTTTTCTTTTTCTTTTTTCCAACATGAACATCCTCTCTTCCATTTCCACCCCAGGTTAGTAAAATATTCCACTAGACTCTAAAACTATGCTGTCCAATTCAGTACCCACTAGCCAAATGTGGGCATTTAAATTAAAGTGAAAGAAAAAGCAATTTATTTCTTCAGATTTCATAGCCACCTGTGGTTAGTGGCTTCTATATTGAATAGCATAAAACACTCGTCACCACAGGAAGTCCTACTATTCCAGTTTCCAGAAGATTCAAAATATCCAACTTTTAAAACAAGAAATTTATGCAAAAAGTGTTTAATAAATACTTTTAGACTAAAACTATTTAACTTTCCCATAATTTTATGACAGTTCAATTTAATATTTAGTTGGTAACAGCAGCCAGCCAATTAAGATAAACAAAATGAAGAACTGAACATAATTTTTATAGCTTTTGGAAAGATTCACATTGTGTGCTTCTTGCAGGAACTGTGGTTGAACATGTATAAAAATTCTGAACATGTTAAACACATATGTTTATGTACTATTATGCACATAATTTATATATATTATATATATTAAGTAATACATATATACATTTAATATTATGTATATTGTGTGTGTGTGTGTGTGCAGTGCTGGGGATTAAGCCAGGACATTTTAAGTTCTATTAAACTGTATTTACACACATTTTTTATTTTTAGTACCAGGAATTGGGTTAACCAGTGAACCACATCCAACCCTTTTTATTTTTGAGACAGGGCCTTGCTGAGGCTGGCTTTGAAATTGCAATCCTCCTCCCTCAGCCTCCTGAGCTGCTGGGATTACAGGCATGTGTATACGTTTTTAATAGGTATTTTAATACACATATTTGCATATACATACATGTGTACCCTTAATATGCACACATATACATATATATGTACTTTTTTAAATACTGAAAAGCCTACAGTTGGGATACCTTGAGGATGACCTATTTCTGAAAGATGAACTTGCTCCCTCCTCATCACAGATGCATTTTATACCTCCATCCTACCACTGTAAAGCTCAGCAGACTATCATTGTTCAACCACACCTTCTGCAGCTTGAGTACAGGAAACACACATACATTCAATCTACCATTCCCCATGGTAAATGCAAACACACACACACACACACACAGAGCACTCATTGGTCAAATGAGAGTAAAAAAAATGTTCATGTTACCTTTATCAAATAATAAACTGGGATACTGGTCATGAGTTAGTTAATTCTCTGAATTTAGAAAAGTCACATAAACTTTGATCATCTAAACATAGTAAAGAAACAACTGAATTGAGCCGGGTTATTTTGAAATTATGAAATTTAGCCAGGTGAGGTGGCACATTCTTGTAACCTCAGTGACCTGGGAAGCTGAGGCAGAAGGATCAGAAGTTTGAGGCCAGCCTCAGCAACTTGGGAAAACCCTTATTTTAAAATGAAAAATAAAAAGGGATTGGTAGTAGAGTGTCCCTGGGTTCCATCCCCCATACTGCAAAGAAAGAAAACACAAAATTCTTAAAATGTATGTGCTCCATTCAATTGTTAAATCACAAATTTATTTTATGGCAGGTAATGAATGTTAACAACTCAGTAAAACTACATCATCAATTGCCCAGAATTACTCTGTTAGTGGATGATTTTTCCTTCAATGCTTTTTAAATCTTATTTTCTATATTTTCACAAAATCTTGTAATAAAATTTCCATGATCTATTTCATTATTTTGCAGCTGGCTATTAACTACACTCAGACTGAACCTTTTTGAAAACTTTAAAATGTCAGCATCCTTAAGTTTTTGTGCTTTAATTGTATATTATCTACTAAATTAGTCAACATTACCCTATTTTAAACATTATTACACATCTATTAAAGTCGTGTCCACCTGGTAGTGTAACTCAGTGGTAGAGACCATGCTTAGAATGTATGAGGCTCTGGGTTCCATCCCCAGAATTGCCCTTACCCTGCAACAAAAAAGTTGCATTCCAACTTCAATTCTTATATATTTATCTTCTCAGCCAAATATTGAAAAATGTTTATAATTAATATTGTACTGATCATAGCTAATGGAGGAATATTGTTCTTTTAAAGATCCTGGAGAATGTCAATGTGAATTTTATTTGCCCAAGTCCTTTATGGGTTGTACTGGGGATTCAACTCAGGGCCTGGTAAAAGCAAGGCAAGTATTCTACCTTAGACCACATCCCCAGCCCCTTTGCCCAAATTCTTATAACCAAGAGAAATCTTTAATAGTAATGAATAGATAAAACCAGCATTTAAAAAAAAAAAAATCACACAGGATATACAGGGTGTCTTTATACTAAATTAAAACTTTATTGAATAAAGAACACTCTCCAGAACACAAGATCTGATGGACCAGGTCTACATTAAATGCAATGAAGCTGAACATGACAGTAGTTTAACATGGAATGTCAAACACATTAGTATTTTCATTGTACAAAACTGTTTGTGTAGCTGATGTGCAAGAAGAATAGTATGATGATATTCAGCATTTTCACCAATCATCTGTGATGAGTTTAAAAAGGCATTTGAAGAAACTGGTAGATGTCTTCAGCATATAGTTCAAATAAATTAGTTTCATGTGCACTACTGAACCTCTTTCAACCTCTCTTGCATTCCAAATAAAATCTTAGTGCAAACATCAAAGTTGCTGGTCACTCCAAAAGACTGTCAACCTCATAAGAGAATACAAGTTCTGAATTAATGTGTATTAAGTAGGACAAAAATCAAGAATACCAGTTACTGCAAAATTCATTTAGGCACACTTAATAGTCCACTCTAAGCATTTCTTCTAATTCTCTCACATTAATGACTAAAGCCTGTTTACAGTACTAAAATTCTATCATTCAAGCATCAATGATTATATTTCAGAAAAAGAAAATCATTCATTTCAGTAATAGCATTACTGCTGCATTCTAAAAAAAAAAAAAGAAAGAAAGAAAGAAAAAAATCATAATTAACAAAACCAGTATCCATAATAGAATACATGGGGAAAAACATTTTAGGAAAAAAATAATGTGCTTTATTTGCACAGCAGGAATTATATAATGTAAACACCATATTGGCCCACACCACAAAATCCATGAGAAAGGTTCAAATTTGAACACTGTGTGTGCATTATTTTCAAATCTGTGTTTGTGAGTTTATACTGAATCTGCTTGTACCAATACATGAGAAATTAAACACACTCTTCAACACACATACACATACAAGTGATTGTTAAATATTGAGCATGGCTTGCTTCCCTGACACTAAATCAAAGAAAATGCTAAGTGACATCCCAACTGTTTTAAAAATGTTTACAGAAACCATTAAATGAATGTGAATAGTAGTTGAGGAATGAAGAAAAGTGATGGCAATGATATGATGAAAGTGGATGCAAAAAAAATACTCCTGTATGGATGGCAAATGCATGGGACACCTTTTTCTGTGGGCCTTGTCTGAACTTTCAGTTGTTACCAAGAATTAAAAAAAAAAAAAAAAGTAGTAGCACAAGTCCTTTGACACCTGGAGGATTGAAAGTTTACCTTCAAAGTGCAAAATTTAACAATGGAATGTTTTAGCAGGGACATAAGAACAATCTTCTGTCTTTTTCTTGTTGCAAAGAAATAAAATGTTCAGGAAGTATTTATTCCTGGCCAAAGCTATTTCAGTTTCTTGGTACAACAAAAATTTTAAAAGTATTTAGCCACAATGATCACCCACTCTTTCACATACACAGAACCATTCTTAGGGGTGTACGTTGGGGAGAAAAAGCCCTTACCTATGTATCACCTAATGCAACTCTGCTTTAGAAATTAAGTTCTTTGAATTCACTACGTTAAATATCCACATGTACCTCCCTTATCCCCTCCCTCTCCACCCACCTATCCCAGACACCCCCTGATGAACCTACATATTCTAAAGTCTTTGTTGTTTTCTAAGCCTCATGACTAAGGCTGTTGAGTACCACCTCCAACTGGAACAAAATTAACACCTAGGGTGCCCTTTCTACAGCACCTTTTTTCTTCTCCACAGTTAGTGGAATTTTGATGCTCAAGCCTGATCTAGATCTCCAGGTCATCAGGCCGAGGTCGGCTGCTGGCACGGCTGCTGGCTCTGCTTGAAGGTCGCTGGTCCACGATGGCTAGTGGCTGTAGTTCATGTCCAGCAGCGATTTTTTTAGAATTCTGGTTGTCATCCGGGAAATCGAAAGGCTGGGCGTGGGAGTTAGAGATGGTGCTTCCTGCCTGCCCCATTCGGTTTTGTTCTGCGCTGTAATTAGCCCAGTTTTGCTCACTTGCTTGCTTGTTATAATTACGGCATGAAGAATTGTTTCTGTCGCCAGTAACCAGCTTGTACCCAGGAGGAGACATAGGTGACAGGGGAGCTGTTGGTGAAGAGCAGCCATTGAAATAAGCATATTTTGGAGATCCACAGTCTTTTGAGGGGCTCAGTGGGCCAGTGGTAGCGTGGTAAGGATCACTCCTTCCCTTCACACGATCCTTAACGCCCTTGAAGAAGACATAGAAGAGTTCAATGATATTCAAGGCAAGAGACACCAAGGACACCACCAGCATGAAGATGATGAAGATGGTTTTCTCAGTGGGGCGAGAGAGGAAGCAGTCCACTTGATGTGGGCAGGGATCTCTTTTGCAAGTGTAGACAGCACTCAAGCTGAATCCATAGATGTACCACTGGATCAGCAAGAAGGCCACCTCGAAGACAGACTTGAAGAGGATACTGATGATGTAGGTTCTCAGCAGCCCTCCTCGCATCTTCACTTTACCATGCTCCTCGATGCCATACTTGAACTTCTTTATTTCAATCTGCTTCAAGTGCATCTCCACGTTTACCCCATCAGTTTGGGCAACTTTGAGCTCCTCCTCCTTCTTGTTCAGTTTCTCTTCTTTTCTCATCACATAGAACACATGAGCCAGGTACAAGAGTGTGGGTACAGACACAAATATGATCTGCAGGACCCAGAAGCGCACATGAGAGATTGGGAAAGACTTGTCGTAGCAGACATTTTCACAACCAGGTTGTTGGGTATTGCAACGAAAGGCAGACTGCTCATCACCCCAAGCTGATTCAACTGCTGTCCCCAGTAGCAGGATTCGAAAAATGAAGAGAACAGACAGCCACACCTTCCCTCCAGCAGTGGAGTAGGCTTGGACCTTGTCAAGGAGTTTGCCTAAGGCACTCCAGTCACCCATGATGCCTGGATACCTCCTGAAAAAAAAAACCAAGAGACAACTCAATGATTACAGATTGTAAATTATTAGCTTAATAGATGGTATCTTTTTTTTAGCTGGCAGCGGAAATATTGCAAATTGTTTCCTTTTAGCCTCCATCAAAAACAAAACAAAAACAAAGTTCTTCCTAGCACATTTCCACTCCCAGAGTCTCACTCTTTTTTTTTTTTAAGATAAAATTTGATCTGAGAAGCAACAGAGCCTATGTACAGAGGCTGAACTGCAATCTTAACTTGCAGAAGATGTATTACTTGCTCAACTACCAAATTGCCATGTGACCTTAGAAGCTGTCTGTGCTAAGTGCCTCTGCTTATTTTATTTGTTTGATAAATGACGACAGTTCTTGTCTCGTAGGCTTGTGTCTGGATGCATGCCTAAGCAAAATGCTGACGTGTTATTCAAAATATAGGTATCTAAGAACTCAGGCAAGAACACTCAGGAACACACACGCATGCACAACCTCGATCCCCAAACTTTGATGCTAGGATGAATCACTTTATTCCTAATTTTATTCTGCAATGTGTCTTCATGGTACATTAAGAGTAATTAGTGCATAGTCTGTATCATGGTTATTTATTCTTTTCTCTCTCCTTATGCAGTAACATATATTTCAAGTCTGTCTTCTACCAGAAAAAAAAAAAATGTTATGCTGAAATGCACCATTTGGACAGTATCTCATTATAAACAGGAACCTACTTTCAAAAACAAAAACTAAATGTGCATAACATTTCTAGGTAAAAGTTCAATTTGGCCAGGCATGGTGGTATCATGGTACATGCCTATAATTCCAGTGACTTGGGAGGCTGAGGCAGGAGGATCTCAAACTTGAAGCCAGCCTCAGTAACTAAGCAAAGTTCTAAAAGAAGTTACGATGTGAGATAGTGATAAAGTACCTTTGGGTTCAACTCTGAATACCAGGAAAAAAAAAAAAAAAAATCAATCTGTCAGTTTGTCTCCATACTACTTATAGACTGTGAAGTGAAAAAAGAGGAAGCTGAAAGGCTGTAAGATATATTCAGCCACTTGGACAGCCAAAAGACTTATAGTCCTTAAGTCAAAGCCCTTTAATACATTGAAATGATTGCAATGGCATTTAAATTACACACCTGAAATATCAGCTACTCAGGAGGCTGAGGTCAAAGGACCTCAAATTTGAAACCAGCCTGGTCAGCATAGTAAGAACCCATTTCAAAAGACAAACAAAAAAGTTACAAGCACAGTAGACAGTAAGACTGCACTAAAGCCAGAAAAGTTTCCATGTTTTGATATGGCCAATCTAACAAGAGCTGAAACATGAGAAAATATGACACGTGTCAGAAAACTACAGAGAAGATTGGTTAATTTTCAGGAGAGTAGTGATTGCAGGGTTTAGAAAGCAATAAAGTAAACAAAGATTATTTAATAATTAAAGACAAGCAAAACAAAGACTTTCCAAGCATTCAGTAATAATGAATTGACAAGTGCAACTAAAGTAGAATTATGTAGGCTTCTGACAAATGTGTTCACTATCTGAATATAAAGGGGTTTCTCATCTGGTTTTGAACCAGAGTCATATTCTCCTGTAAGTAAGAAGTAAATGAAATACAGAGGTGTTTTCCCCTCACCATCCAATATTACATTTCTTTCTAATGCTTGTATGTCATAGCTATGGAGATCATGAAAAAATGAAACGGAAATCTGAAAATCTGACCCAGGGTTTCCTGGATGAAACAAAGAAGAGATGGTAGATCCATAAAGCCAAATTATATACCAACTAGTAATAGATGGGTATCTGATAATATGACAGCTCAGGGATTGGTACACAAATGAGGAAATACAGGTGTGAAGTGGGCGGGCAGGTTACAGAAATAATGCTTTCCCAATGATCATAAAAGAAGGAGTTTTCCTTCTACTTTAAAGAAGGGCCATTTGGGATTCTGATGTGGCAAACCAGAGAGTGAAATTCATGTACAAAGAGTAGTCAGACAGGTCGACAAAGGGTTAAATAGCCAAGGGAAGGCTTGAAGTGAGAGGAGTAATTTAGTCTTGATGGTCAGTTTTATGTGAGAGAATGCAAAAGAAAAAGCCTACAATTTAGCAGAAAATACTAGACTGGGAGTGAAGAAGTACAGGCCACGAGGGTCAAACAAACACAACAGAATTTTTGGAGCCATATCAGTAGACAGTTTCTATGTGATGATGTGTAAATTGGCTCCAATTCGGTTTGTAAAGAATTACAATATTTTGCCAGTGTCATCTGCTTTTGTTTAGATATTCTAATTGTTGGGGGGGGGAAATAACAAAAACAATTAAGTATAAAATGATAAGCTATTTGCATACATCTCATCATATTCAGACAATAATAGATCTCAAGGCAAACTAAACATGGTTAGAAATACAGCTGGGCACAACAGCAGTTTTCATTTTAGTCAGTGTCTCATCATTATTCAAAGTAAAATGATTGTGTAGATGCCTGTGGAGTTCACCCCTGAGTTCTTCACATTCTATGGAAAATGAAATTTGACTTTCACACAATTCTAAGATTCCACTATGCTATAGAGTGTGAACTAGTTCACTGGGTACTTGTTCTTTTAAACTATCCCATCAATTTAATTGCAATGTTGTCTTTTCTTTACACACCCACACAGTAGTCATTTGCATTAATGAGTTATACTCTTTCATCTGAATAAGATATGAATTATCCAATTGGACACCTTGTATTCTGTAACATGTAGACACCTGTCATTACCACTATCATAGAGACCATCAAATGTTTCATGTGATGGTTCATCTTGCAACTCCCAAGGAGGTAACAAAAATAGCAAGCTTTTTACTGGTAGCTGTTCACTTGGCCAGGAACCAAGTATCCTTTCAACTAGTTATTCCATCCCTTAACCCCGGTTTAATATTTTAATTTTCCAAGTCTTAGTTGAAACATTAATGTTCTTTCATTATAAGGGAAAAGTATGCTTATGTTTACAGAAGCCCTGGCATTGGTTTACAGACTATATATTGCAAGAATATTCACCAGGAGACAGGAACACAGTTCTTCATTTCATTCAGGAGTCTGGGCAGCTGAACATATCCTGTATATTCATGCCTACGCCTCTGCGTTCCTATGATGCAGCTTTATTTGTAGATCATGATCTAAGGGGTTGTGTACAGTTCTCATTAGGTCTTTTTTTGCAAGATGGAAATCTTACTAAAGTTCCCAGGCTACTCTTGAACTTGTGATTCTGCCTCAGCTTCAGGTATAGTTGAGTTGGGTTTACAGGTGCAGCCACCACTCTTAGCTAGTAGTAGCAGATCTTGACAGCAGCTGGATAACACCATGCCTTCTGTATGCCATGTTAGGTTGCATTTTCATTTGCTCTTCATGGCCCCCTAGACCACTGCTCAAAACTACAGTCACCCAGTGTGACCTCCCTAAGGACTTTGTCCCTTCACAGTGGTTCCTGAACTGCATGACAATCACTTGGCACATAACATTCCTGGCCCTCACCAGTTGGATGAAGCTAGACTTCTGGAGGGTGGGGCCTGGGAAATCAGCTTTTAATTTTTTGTTATTTTTTTGAACAAATGTCCCAGGTGATTTTGAAGTAAGATTACAGAGAAGCAAAGAGTGCTTTCCCAGCATTTTATTTTATTTTTTTCCTGTTCAAAATATTTAAGACTGAGGCAAATTTCAGAGAAGTAGAACAGACAGCACATCTAACAAGTCAAAGCACTAGAACAGTGGTTCTCTGGGCACTGGGTCTCCCACTCCCTGCATCTTTATCTGCCACTCGCTGAGAGGATAGTGACCTAATCTCTTTAATCCAAAGGAAATTTCTTAAAAATTAAACTTCAGTTTTTAATTACTTTTGTCTGTCCCTTTTGCTAGAGCCTCAAAAACAAAGGCTGTAGCCAAGTGTTTTCATGTCACTAATATCCTAATAATATATATATTTTTTATTTTGCTGGGAATGAACACAGGACCTTACACATACTAGGTAAGCACTTTACAACTGTGTTACACCCTCATCATATTATTAGAAAATATTTTACTTTTAATTTTTAAAAAGAGACAACCATAATGGTGAGTGGAGACACAAATAAAACATATAGTATTATTAATAACTAAGGCAGGGTTGCATTTCTTTCCCTTCCTTTCTTCCTTCCATATAGGGGATTGAGCCGGGGGCACTTTACCACTTAGCTTTATCCCCAGCTTTTTAAATTTTTGAGATAGGGTCCTACTAGGTTGCTGAGGCTGGCCTCAGCCTCCTGAGCCTTTGGGATTATAGGTGTGGGCCACTGCAACCAGATCTATGAGTTTCTCATATATTAAAATCAAAAGTTTTATGCCCCACACCCTCCAATGCAAACTTTCCTAATGCTTTTCTTTTAGCTTTGATAGTAAAGACTCCTTGTTCCTAGTAGTAAATGTCTTTTGAGTAAGCTCAGATGTGACTCTCTCCACTAACACCACAGCAGCTATTCCCTTTGATAATATTCAGATGCACACATGATTAATATAATCCATATCCTGCCCATCAGGGAGGATCTACCTTCCAAAAGTAACCGCACTATGACCCATTCTTAACTGTTTTTGCTTGTCTTTGCTTTTAGCCCGATCTCAGCCATTACTACCTCTTTTCAATTTTCACGTCACTGCCTTGGTCACTGTGATTGCCCACCTATTCTCAAACAGACAGTCCAAAAGGAAAAACACAAAACAAAAGAACCATCAAAGATGCTGATCTTACAGCTTACTTCTTCCCTCATTTCAGGCCTTACTTCATAGCCAAATTTCCTGACCACCAAATATGAAAACAGAAGCGTCCTTTCCACAGTCCTGTCACTTCCTATTCCCCTTGTCCCACTTTAGAATAGCTCTGACCTCTACTCAAAATAGCATATATTTGCTTATTGTTTATCTCCTTTCATAAAGTCTTACTGAGTGGAATGTGAGCTCTGGAAGGGAGTTTGTTCAGTGCTGCATTTCCAGTGCTTAAAAAAATAAGAGATGCTGCATGAATCTATCCTGAATGAGTTAAACAGGGCTGTTCAACAACAACAACAACAACAAAGAGAACTAATCTCCTGGAGCCTGTAATGTGCAAAGAAAAAGGCCCCCAGGTCTCCTTATTTATTTTTTTTAATTCTTTGGGAGTCTCTTAAATATGGTAATACATCTCAAACTTCTGAAATTTTGAATTCATTAAGGAGGACTTTAGAAGAAAAGATTATTGTCAGCATCTTTTATTACACTGTTAAATTTTCAAGGGATAATTGCTACAATACAAGAGCTTTGTTTGTTGAAACAACAGGCTTCAAATTGTTGCTGGGCAGGCAATAGGAATGAAGTAAGGAAAGAGCTTCTTAAATTTATTAGATGGAGATTCTAGTTATGGTTAGTATACGTGAAGAACTGCATTAGGTATCGTGGATGTTTATTCAGATTCACTGTTAGGACATAAGAATTAAAACAGAGCAAAAAAATAAAAATGAACAAAACAACAACAACAAAATCACCCTGTACTGTTATCCCCCTAATTCAGGGATATTCTGACTTTGATAATGACACATGATTTTATTGTAGCCAAGAACACTATTGCAAAAAGAAACAGCCTATTTAAAATTGTGTTTACTTCAAGAATGACAAATATGAGGGAAGGTTAGGACTCTGGAAAGGGAAGAACAGAACTGACATTAAACCCAGTTAATGTAACATTAACTGAGTCTAGACAGAGAGTTATTTGAATCAGATATCACAGAAAACATTCCCAGTTCATTTGACAACACCCTACCTTTGCTTCCTTATACCTGGATAGTAAGCCTAGTTCTCTGGCCTATCAAATGTATTTGATGGAAACATCTATTCAGTTAAAAGTTCTGCCGCATGATTCCCTGATTATTCTCCCATTCCTTTGTGTAAAGATCAGTTATCTTTACATTCCCAGAGGTGTGTGATGGGATTGTGGCACTGAACTTCCAATTTTACTTGTGGTAGTGGTAGTAGGAAGCAGCAACACACTAGAACAAACCAAAAAAGTTTCTTTCCCTAACTTGTACCCCTCCTTTTCAGTCATTCCATTATCAGCTTCCACGGAATGAGGTGAGATAGTAGTGGAGAGATTCCATCCAACGAGTGGAGAGCTTTATTGAGAGCTTTCCTAGTTCAACAGCTATCACTCAACTCCCCCACCAAAAAAGTTTCTTAAGATCAACTTAGGTGTGCCAAAGAAAAACACTGTCAGAACCCTTAGGCTCAAAGCTATGCACTTCAATTGTGATCCAGTACCTTTAAAAAACAACAAAAAACTACAACAGCTTATTTCTATCAGTTCTTGATGTTTCTATTGTCCCTACCCTCACTTTCACCTCCAAATTGATGCCTTTTAATCAACAATCTTACTATTATTTTGTAATCACATAAGCACATCCTTAAGATCATCACAAGTTTATTAACAGTCAGCACTGAATGAGAACGCATGCAAGTGAAGCTCTTAGTAAAACCTCAATAAAGTTTACCTATTGTTCTTTAAAAGATCCTTAGATATTGCTCATTTATTTTCTAACCTTTGTATCTTAACTAAAATGATGAACAAACATACATTTTCTAAAAATTATTTAGAAACCTGTGGAAATTTGGATGTAAAATTCAAGGCATTTTACAAAAAAATTAACCATGGTTTGAATTTTGGCAGAAATTAGTCTATACACATACAGCTAAATGGTGAATTAAGATAATTAAGGGAAGTGGAGAATTAAAGCAGTTTTCCCAAGAACGCAAAAATTAGTTGTTGTTGTTTTTTTTTAAAGCAGCTGTAGGGATTTTTTTTCTAAATTATCTATATTACATTAATGATAAACTCGAGGTGATTAGTTCTTTTCTTTCTACAGCTGAACTAGATAAACTTCAACACATCCATTCCAACAAATGAGAATCTTGAAGGGAAGTCAGAACAACAGGAAAGGTGGAGTAGCAGGTATTAATCACTGGTGACTTTCCTATCATTCCCTTCCCTTGGGGTATACAAAGGCTCTCAGCCTCATACTAAGCTATACCTCTGGATATTATAAAAGAAATGACAGAATGCAAGGTATGAGGAACTCTCTGACTTTCTCTTTGCAGGAATTGGAAACATCTAAGTGAGGAAGAAAGCAATCCTTAATATCCGAAAACACACCCGTTTTAAATTATTGCTGCCAAATATCTTTGGAACCCTGGTTCTCATTGGAGGTTCAGTATTGTAGGGATCTCAGCCATAAAGGGCGAGGAACTGAGTGGATGGGACAGCTGTGGTGATACACTTCAAAAAGTATTAGAAAAATATGGAACATTTTAACAGTAAAGAGGAGCAAAACTTTACAACTGTATTTTCCAGGAAAAAGACAGGTGGCCACGTACCCTGACTTTGGGAAGGATTTCACACATTGGAGAAAAACAGTTCAATAATTCAGAATTCAACACAGTGCCAGGACACAATGTATTGTGAATGGTACAATTTTCACTCAATTTGGCCTACTCAGAAGAATTAATTATTCTTCCCCCAGAGGTATTTTCTATCTTAATTGGCTTATTTTATTCTTGGGAGTGGGTTAGTTTAATGAGATCTCCTCTGCAGTACTAAAGGCTTTTCTTTTCAGGAATCCTTGCATAAAAGTGAAAATTAGGCATCCTCATCGGGCAAGGTGGACGGAGTTGTTTTTTTTTTTTTTTTTTTTTTTTTTTTTTTTAACTATGCCTATTTTTTCAGAGAGTGAGATTCAGCATTTCTCTTGACATTACTACCTTGATTTGGGAGCAAAAGGAAATTTTAAGCCCACCTCCAAATAAAGCCACGTCTGCTTTCAGCTGTTACAGTATCTTACAGCTCTCTTCCCATCCCCACTTCGTACCTCTAGAGGGAAACCGAAGCACCTCACTCCGGGTGACGGTGAATACGCTTTTCCGTAAGCTTTATCGGAGATGCTCCTGCCAAGGTCAGCTAGGTCTGAGAAGCCCGTGTGGGCGATCCGCTGCTGGGAATCAAGGTTTGAGTTTCCCAATCACGGACTGATTTGCCTCAGGACGTCATTAGCTCTCGCCCCATTTCATCCAGGGTCTTTCTTGCCCTCCCTCCTCCGTCCCCGCCCCGCCTCATTCTTGGGAAGTTTTAAGAACTTCCAGAAAAGTTACAAGTGCAGTTTACCAGCACGGTAACTCCCAAAGGTGTTCAGGTTTCCTTACCAAGGTTTATATGGAAGGATTCATTCGACTAAGAGAAAAAAAGAAAAACCAAAAGAAAACAGACTGCGGGTGGGACGGGGCTGATAAGGGTGGGAAATTAGATTGACAACTTTAATTAAGTCAATCATTTGCTCTTTTAACCATTTGGCAACTAGCCCATCCCTCCTCCCTTCCCTCTCCCCTCCCAATCCCGGTTCCTTCCAGTGGCGGAACTCAGACCTGCATTCAATTTGACTTGTAAAGATTGAAGGGAAGAAACATCTCAAAAAGCCCCGAGGCTCCGGACAGTGAAGGAGCCAGGCGCAGCCGAGCAGATGCTAAGATGGCAGGACGCGCCCGGCCTCGCGCCGCAGCAAGGCTGGCATTATTATTGGCTTTTCAGCATTCCCTGGTGTAAATACTTCAACGACTGGGTCACACCAAGAATCTAATTACTTTAGTCTGTAGATTTAAAAAGAACAGAAAATTCTCTCCGGGCACCAAAAATGCACGGTTGCCTTTCTGGCTAGCAGGATGTTGTTATCAAGCCAAACATTTAAAAAATAATGAACCTTTTAAGCAACACATTAGCGTATTCTTTGTCTACTGCCTACCACCCTGGCAGTTCCAACTCCAAGACAATTGCGCCAGAGTTCCGAAGTCTGTTACAGGTTCAGACAGGCTGAAGCAAGAGTGAGTGAGGGGGGTGAGCCGGGGAGGTAGCTCCCATTAAAACATTTTAAAATACATTTCTTTTTCCTATTCATTCGCGGAGCTCCCGTTTTAGGAGACGATTTTTGGAAACGCATCCTAGCATACACTCTTTTCTAAACATCTGTTCCCTTCCTGTAATGTAACCACCACCCATTCAAGGTTTCTCATCTCATGAGTTGCCAACGTGGTGAAGTAAAAAAAAAAAAAAAAAATGTTGGCTCTCTGTAGGGTCTCAAATCTTTCCACAGTGATGGCTAACACAAAGTTAACTATTCACTAATAATTTTAAAGTCCTAATATTAATAGTGGGGTATATATCTTTTTGTTTAGTGAGAAAAATTTTAGGAGGGAACCACGTGGAAGTCAAGTAGCCACAATGTTTTAACAAAGCACTTGGTTACAAAAGAAGTTTGCTTTGCAAGGCTACAGAACACCTATCAAGATTTCCATATGAAAAAGCACGAAGTACAGAATACTATAAGGAGAACGCTAAGCAAATTTGCACTTTGTTTTTTTTGTCAGTGAAACCCCCAATCCAGGCCCCAGCACCCCTCACCCCCAACCCCCAACAAACTACAGAGCACCTAGACTATGATCGATTACCAAAAAGTAAATAAAATTATGCTTTTAAAAGGAAGAATCAAGTATCCAGTAAATTAATTCTTATTCTAATTAGAAAGGCTCAAAACTTTTACCTGTTGCATTATCAATAGAAACTTTTGAAACAACCAAAAGTACAAACTCCCTACATTCAATTTAGCATTGACTATAGATAGGCACTTAGATTTCATTTCAAAACATAAATCATATTTACATTTTAGACACTTAGAAACTCTAGAAGTTTTACTAGGAGAAAAAGAAACTAATAGGTAAAGTGGTTTTTTCTTTTAACTTACTCTTTCGCTTAAAGAAGTGAAGTAGGCACTCCAAGTGATTGAATTCCGTGGAGGATGAAGTAAAATGAAAAGGCAAGTTCAGGCACTCAGACCTGGCTATTTAAAGTTTAAAAGTCTGCTGCTGTTTGGTACTTTCCTCACGCCTTCCCCCCAATGAAAGAAAAGTGCTGATACCTCGTAAAAGCTTTTTTCTAACTTGGAGCACAGAGCTTTTAAAAAGTTTCAAGCCACTGACTCAACTAGGAGGAGGGGCTAGAAGGAAGGGGAGGGGTAGAAGGAAAGGCGGGAGGAGGTTGGAAAAGAAGCTGGTGAACGTGAGGCAAGAGGAGGCAAAGAGGAGTAGCCAGGTCAGGATCAAGTCCTGGCTTAAATTTGCTGACCAAAAAAAATAAATAAATAAGATTGCATTAGAGACATGAATGCTACCTCTTGGAGTTACTCCTTACAGATTAAAAACTGCTGATTTTAGTATTTGTTTCATCCAAATCCTAGGACAATGAAAAAGCATATCTTTTATAATAGCACACTTTCTAAAATAAAATTACAGAAAATAAAAGTGGGGGAGAAGTATAGACAGTGCAAACTTGTTTAATGTTGACCAAGGTGTGTGAAGTTTGAGGTGGGTGTGAATATCTTATGTGATGATCTAATTCCTTTCCTCTTAGTAGGGACAATTAACAAAGGGAATGGTGGAGATGAGAGAGAGATTTCAAAAACAAAAAGTAGTATGTCTATCCACAATTCATCCCTCAATTTATTGACTGCTTTGCATTTTTACCTTTTCCATTTAGCAAAAGGAAATGAAATATTATCTATTATGCATAACATGTAATGTTTTGTATATATGAACTAAATATATATGTATGTGGATATGTGGGGGAGTTGTACTGACTATGAAATCTTGATATATGACCTCTACGTGATCTCCAGGGAAATGAAAATGTATATCTCACGCCCGTTCATGCCAACTCACTGAAATTTCAATCTGTAGTGATATGTTGGATTTTTTTTTTTTTAAATAAGATACAGGCTATAGTTGCCTCATAAGTTGAGTCATCATTAAGTGGGTCCCAGATATATTCAACCTTCCTAAGATCACCTTCCCTCACAGCCCACTGGAGAGTTTTCAGCCTGATGGCAGCAGAGCTGAACGTGTAATGACTCTGTGCTTCTGCATCACTTCCAGGGCTCTCTCTCTTCAGGTCCCTGTATTGGAGTTTATAATGGCCTGAGTCAGGTGGCCTCATTCTGAGTGGGCAGCTCCTCTGAGGGCTCCCCAGATGCCATAGAAGAGGGCTGTGGTGGGACGATTCCCCATAAACAGGCTTCAGTGATGCTCCTGAGGTGGGGCAGAGGAATCTCTTGGCCATTGTTCTCTGGAAACAAAGCAAACTCATTCAGCCTTCATATTACTAAACCTTTCCCACTAATTGAAATACCAGAAAAAAAGAAGGATAGCATACATTACCTGGTAAATAACTTTTCCTAAACATACTTTCACTGAAATAAAAAATAAGATTTCTTTTGAAATGTTATAGTTTTAAGACTAACTAAGTTGCCCTCTCGTTTTTGTTTTGTTTTGGTTTTGTTTTTGTTTTTTTGATAATCTTAATTCCAAGGATATGTTTTTCTTTAAGGAGGAAAAAATGAAGTTATAGAAGTAGAAATTGTAACCTGATTTCAAGTCTTCAGGTGCTGTTTTGGTCTTGTATTTATATTGTTCTATCCTTCAAGTTAGTCTGTTGTTTGTCTTAACTAAAAATTATTTCATGCAATTGAAAACACATGTGAAAAAACATGATTTTATATTACAATAAATTTTTTTCTCCTCTTTTTAAATAAAAAATTAATTTGGGGGGCTGAGGTTGTAGCTCAGTGGTAGAGCACTCACCTCACACATGGGAGACCCTGGGTTCGATCCTCAGCACCACATAAAAACAAATAAGTGAAATAAAGGTATTGTATCCAACTACAACTAAAAAATAAATATAAAAAATTAATTTGTTACATTTTATTGACAATGAAAATTTGGAAAATGAATTTGAAAAGCAACATTGTTTATAATACCATTAAAACCATAAATAGTTACAAATGAATTTAACAACAGTAGGCAAAACCAACCTTTTGTTCAGTGCAAAAAAGAAAATAGGCAAAACTTCTACACTTAAAACTATAAAACAATGTTTATAAAAATTAAAGTTCTAAGAAAAAAGAAAGAACACTTATATGTTGAACAGCTCAATATTATTAAGATGCACATTGATCTATGTATTCATACAGTATCAGTCAAAATCTTGACAAGATCATTTTAACAGAAATATTGAGCTAACTCTTAAAATCTGTATGAAAATGCAAGGACCTACAGTAGTTCAAACAATTTTTTTACTTGTCATATTGTAAAGTACTTTTTTCTTTTTAAGATTTTATTTATATCCATTTTGAATTGATACATAAAACAAAAATGATGCATATTTATAGGGTAGCATGTGATGTATGATATGTCATGTTTTAATCAGGCATTATTTATTGCCTCAAGCATTTGAATATTAGTTCATGTAACCCTACTATGCAACAGCACATCAAAACTCCCAAAACTTCTGACTCCCAGCTAGTTATGACTTAGTACCCATTAATCAACTTTTCCCCATCATTCTTCCACACTTTTTCAGAAAAAAAAAACTTTATATGATTTACATAATTTTTACTTTATTTTTATATAATATTTGTCAAGTGTAATTATTACTAATAATACATACATACTTATGACGTTGATCTAGAATTATCTGCATGAGAAACAGTGATTGATTATTTTATAACATGGTTTTTAAAGCAAAAAAAAAAATTTCTTTAAATGGGAATTTTATTACTATAATTTTGTTTTGTTAGATCTACAGATGGATATTGATGTTTAGATATCCTGCTCCCTTTTATTTTTATAGCCATGACCTATGACCAACTGGAATTAGAACTAAAGAATCTATTTATGCCAAATTATATTATTCCTGGATGTCATCTGAAACATTTTCAGAGCTAAAGGGGTAGTGATAGCATGAGCCTCTAATTAAATAATTTGTATTTTTTAATTAGCATTTGAATATACTATGTCTTTTATTTAATAAATTATTTTCTTATGGTCATTTTCCCAAAATTCTCAATATGATTTTACCTCAACTTCATTTGCTAACATGAGACATTTTATGAGATTTTAAAAAAATGGTATTAATATATGAACCTAGAAATGATAATACTCAAGGGCAGCTGAGTTACTACGAAGAGTGTCCCTGTTGGAACACTGAGGGCACAATTTCCTCTCATGGACACCTACCTAGCATGGTCTCTGAAGACCAGTAGCAACTTCTATGCCTCAAACTCTAGCAGTATTGGTAAGTTATATTTTGACCAATAATACAATATTTTAAAAAGTATCTGACTTCTTTGGCATTAGAAGTTTATCTCTGTTGGAATGTTTTACATTTGTGGAATAGTTTTAAACAATGTATTTTTCTCATATTTTCACAAATGGAAATTCCATTTCATTACTATAAACACCACTTCACAGAAGTGTGCCTTTTCAGGATTCCAGGCCTTGTCTATGTAGAAGGAATGGATGCAGCCTAATTTGCTAGCCAGGTACTGCTCTTGGAGAAATGAGGGACAATCACAGTTCCTGTCTTGTTCAGGCCTTTCTTAGGCTTCATTAGGCCCCACCATGGGCCAGGCCTTAAAGGCTGTTTTATGCATGTTGCAATGTGATTTGAGAAGTGCATCAGTGTTAGAAAAGTGCAGGGTAGATTAGTTTTCAGAATTTTTTTTTTTTTCTTTTTTTCCAGTGTCAGGGATTAAATCCAGCAAGCCAAACATTCTAGACAAGTACTCTACCACTGAGAAAATAAATAAATAAATTTAATTTGAGACAGGATCTTGCTAAATTCCCCAGGTTGGCCTTGAACTTGCAATCATGCTGTTTCAGCCTCCTTTGTAGCTGGGATTATAAAATTGTACTACTGTACATGGCTCAGAATTTTATTTCTTAATATGGGAACCAACTTCATTTTTCACCTTTGTTTCAAAATACCAATCTCTGGAACTTTAAGAGATGACCGAATAATGTTTCAGGATATTAAGTGCCCATTTTACAGAAACTCTGTTGGATTAATCTCACTATAATAAAAGGTATGAACATAAAATGCAATTCATGTCAAGAGGAGTGCCTCATAGAGGGGTGGGGTGGTGATCTGTTACAGTCCCATCTAGGGAGGCAAATGGGGGAGAATCACTTGAGCCAAGGAGTTTGAGGCCAGCCTGGGCAACATAGTGAGATCATCTTAAGAAAAAAAAAAAATTAGATTAGAAACTGGTAAGAAGAGTGTTGTGATGAAAGAGAAGTGAGGTATAAGAACTTAAACTAAGGTGCTAGCAGTAAGAAAGGAAAAGAAGGTAGAATTATTAGAACTTGATGACAGATTTAATGTGAGGATAAGGGAGAGGAGGATGTGGAAACTGACTTTGGAGTTTTGACAGGGGAAAAATTTTGCTAACACAAAAAAAGGAAGTTGCGGGGAGGGACCAATCTGCTGGAAGAGATATAATCATTTCAATTTGGAATATCTTGATATGAAGAACTGAAACATCTAGGTAAAGATATGTGGCTGACATTTGAAACATGGCTGTGGAGTTATAGGATTTATGATTAATCTCAAAGAATTGATATTTGAAGCCACAGGTACAGATAAGATTACTAAAAGATGGGTTGTAGGCAATGTGCCAGAAAGACAAAGCACAAAGCTTTACGGGATTTCCTCATTTAATGCAGGCAAAGACAAAGAGTGAAGTAACAGGGAAGGTCTGTTAAAAGGAAATGTATTTAAGAGGGCTACAGGTGGGCTTATTTGTAAGGAAAATATCTCTTGCCCACCTGGGGAGTCATTAACTTTGAAAGGCGGGTTATTTACTTAAAACAAGAGTGAAATGCAGACCATAAAGAACAAGTAGTGCTGATAAAGTATTGGAAACTAGAGTTTGAAGGTAGTTTCTCAAAATGTGGGGAGTTATCTGACTATGGAATGAAAGTAAGAATTGAAACTTTAGCAATAGCTGGCTGAATTCAAGTGCATCTGTAAAACACAAAAGGATTATCTAAGATTATCCGGAGGTCTAAGATGATTTTGTAAGGGGATGAGATGGCATTATCTTATAGATT